ACGTATCAAATAATTTGTATAATTATTACATTAATTATAATTATAATGTTTAACTAATTTTGCTCTAGATTCTTCTTTATATAATTTATCAATTAACTCAAGTTTTTACCACAATACAACTTTCTGTCTGTTTTTAGCCACTTTAACTTGGGCCTATCACAGCAATACATCCACACTAACGATAGTTTGAGACACACTGAAGCTCCTGTAAGGGACAAAAGATCTGCAACATGAATAACTCGCCCACAAATAATCGGGAGTTGACTACACTAGTTTTTGTAGCTGAACTGAATGCTGCTTCTTTTTTGTTTTGAGTTTTTAATTTTAGCAAAATGAGTCGATGAATATTAATAATGGTGTTTAAATTATTCTTTTCTAGGGTTACGAGGGCTTATAAATTTAGGGAACACGTGTTTCATGAACTGTATTGTACAAGCACTAATGCACACACCACTTCTTCGGGACTATTTTCTTGCTGACTGCAATGTTTGTCACTTCCAAGATGACCCTTCCATGTGTTTAGTCTGTGAAATGTTGCAGTTGTTCCAAGAGGTAAGAGAGTAAGTTTTTAAAATACTATTTCATTAAAGCCATACTTCTACTAAAATACCTTTTTTACCTTTTTTTGCTGTTGCTTACAGCGACATAGTAAATAAAATTGCATATATTTCATTGGAGCAAATTTAAGCTTTGTTTTTATTGATTAAAAGCATTACATTAACGAAAACTTGCATTAACTTTTTGAAATACAACAAAAATAATTCACTAATTAATACAGAGAGTCATTAATATGCCTCGTTTAAATTATAGTCTTGAATCTTGATGATCAGAATGCTTTCCATAAACATTCAACAAAAAATATCTAGTCATATTTTGTTTTTACTCAAAAATGTAGGTTATTTAATTGATGTTCCAGTAACAGTTTAAGACTTTATTGTTTAGATCAGTATAGGATGTTTACTTTTTTTTTCAATTTACTAAAGAAATGCTTCAGTACTTTAAAATATAATAATGTTGTTGGATAGGATGTTCGTGTTTATTGTAATTAATGACTTAACAGCGTCGCTTCTGAGCATGCCCAGTATGGTACAATTATATTTAATATGAGTTTGCAATATGGCTAAGAAAATGCTTTTTAATTAGAAACAAATACCTCACGGAGTTATCTTGTTAAACAAGTGTTTGAGTTATAATTTCTGTTTTATTCTTAACTTCAACCCTCTGGATATGGGTAGGTCAAAGTGGACGTGTCATGACCTTTTTTTTTTGTACAGAGTTTTCATTTATTACAAATAAACCTAGCAACAAAAAGTAGTTTCTAATTCAAATTTTAATATTATATAAGTCTTAATTTCAAAAGGAAATATTTAAATTCTCAATCTTCACTTCTCTCTATCACGTGACACTTGTTCACCTTGATTGGCCCATCTTAGATATTCTTATTACTCCTACATGATGTCCCAAGTTTAACATAAATTACACATTTATAGTATAGTTATTGTAATCTAAATTTATAGCCTCCAATTTGTTTTTACTTTATAAACCAGAAACTATTATAAACTACATGCCACACCCTCCTATCACATCCTGTCTTTCAAAAAATGTCATTAGTTCTCTCTGTTCAATTATTTATAACCAATGGGAAATGCAGATTACGGTGTACTGATTTCCATATAAGGCTAGCCTGTTATCATGATAGTTTTGAATTATTTGACATACAAATTCAGTGCTGCCATCACTGAGATCATCTTGAATTAAAACAATTCCCTTATAGGTTTGTTAGAAAACAAGTTAAATTATAAATGATGGTTAATTTTCAACTGAGGCCAGATGTAAATACTAAATTTCTTGTTTTTTTTTATTTTTATTCTATTTTTATTCATTTAACTAGAATGTAAAAGTTAGAAATTTATTAGGTTAGATAAGAAAAAATAAATTAAAAAGTTAAACAAAGAAAATCCTCAGAGAGAGAGAAAGATGAGCTTTTTGTGTATTACATGAGTCAATAGTACGTTTATTGTAAGTTAAGCTATGTGCCTGCTGGCTAATTTACAGCTTTAGTAGTTGGACATGGTTCAAAGAGCAATAAAACTTTAAAATTAAATTAAAACAGAAGTAAACTGTTACGAGTCTGAAGCTTCTGAGGATAAATAATTGTAATTGTTTGTTACAAACTGCAGTCATACTGGAAAGAGAAAAATGGATAACTTAGATTAACTGCATATTATTTTTGTGGTGGTTACAGGGTTGGTCAAATGAACCAAGCCCACATAGTGTTAGGGTAGAGGAAATAACAAATACAGTATAAAGTTTAAGTCACTAAAACAATTTGATATTTGTTTATATTGCTCTAGGGATTATGCAAATGAAATTTTAAAATTTGTAAAATGGAAAAGTATTTTTAATCTTAATATGAAAAATTTCTGTACACTCAGATTAATCAGAGTCTGTGTAATTCACAGACAAATCTTTAGTATAAATACTTGATTAGAATATTTTATTTATTTATTTTTTATTCAAAAGACTTGTAATGTTTCCTGAAAGCTTGCCAAATTTTGTGAAGACACACTTACTACATTAAAAGCTATAGTATGTATATTTTCATGGTTACATGGTGGTTGCAAGATTTATTAAAATGACCAAGTCTGTATAGAAAGGGTTAACTCTCTCAACATAGGCTTGGTCAATTTGACCAACCATGTACTTGTTTAAATTCTTTATAGTTTTGATACTAACTTTTAATATATTAGGTCATCAAGAAATTAATGTTGGTTTTTGGTAGATGAAAAAACCCGAACAACTTGTATATCAAAACAAAACATTTATTAAATGAAATAGGCTCCATTCTTATCAATGATGCTTTTCCATCTTGCAA